CTGTAATACCGACACATATCTCGACTATGTCAGGCTGCTCTGCTGCCTGACCAACGCCCTCAAATTATTCCCATAGTTGAACCCAAGCCCCAAACGCCTATCCCTTTACCCTTGCAATTCCATATCCCCAAGTCGTCTCTAGCATCGACGCACATTACAGAGCCTTGACCGACTGAAAGAAGGGGTTGCCCTGAAGGTCGGCATTCGCTCCGACGAGCTCCTTGAGAGCCGCCACCTGCTCCTCGCGGCTCATGTTGCCCTGCTTCACCTTGTCCTTCCACTCCACCAACACCCGCTTCAGCATAGCACTGCCCTGTTCCACGTCCTCCTTGCTGTACTGCAGCGCAAGGTCCTCGTGCTTGGTCGTAAAGTCCTCGAGCTCATCCGCCTTGCGCTTCGCCATACGCACCACCTTGTCCGGGAATCTCACCAGCTCAGCGACGTGGATGCCGAAGCTCTGGTCACACACGCCCGGAGCGACCTTGTACAGCAGCGTCACCTCCCGTTTGGCGTCAGCCTCGGAGACTGCACCGCCAGTGCCGCCGATGTGCGCCGTCACATGGAGGTTCTGTACCTGAGGGTACTGGTCCGCCAGGGCTGTGAGTTCGTGGAAATGTGTGGCAAACATGGCCGAGCAACCAATCTCCTTAACAATGTGCTCCGAGATGGCCCATGCCAGACCAAATCCGTCGTACGTCGACGTACCACGACCGAGCTCATCAATAATGATCAGGGAATCCGCGGTGGCCGACTTGAGGATGTTGGCAGTCTCCAGCATCTCGGCCATGAATGTCGACACGCCCTTGAGCTGTGAATCACTGGCACCAACACGGGCCAGGATGGAGTCATAGATGGTAAGTTCGGCCTCACTACAGGGCACGAAGCATCCCACTTGAGCCATGAGAGCAATGACGCCAGTTTGTCGGATATACGTCGACTTGCCGCCCATGTTGGGGCCAGTGATGATGAGGAACGACGACTTGTCGCGAGTAAGCTCGATGTCATTGGTAATGAACTGAACGTCGTCCTGCAGCTCCATGCAGGGGTGTCGGGCTTCCTTCAGAATTGTTTGGCCCTCACCACGGGCATGAATCTTGGGTCGCACATACGATTCAAGGGCATGAACCGCAGCGTGTCCGAGCGAGACGATAACGTCGAGGTGAGCAAGTACACCAGCAAGGCGTTCTAGAACTGGGCAGTACGAAGAGGCGACCTGGACTACCTCGTGAACAAGACTGCTCTGGGTCCTGTTGTAGTTTTGTGATAGTTGGTCATGCTCCCGGCGGTATGCCTGCATCTTCTTGGTGGTAAAGTAGACACCGTTCTTCTGCGTAGAGCACTCCTGGTAGCCGGACTTGTTTCGAATGCAGCCAGCCTCCTGTCGGGTGAGGCGCATGCATACACCGTGGACCTTGTGGTTGGTCTCAAGGAAAATCTTCTTGTCAGGCTCTTGACCAAGGTCCCTTGCAGAGGTCAAAAACTCAGCCCGGATATCCGAGTCGAGTTGATCGAGCTTCTTGCGGATGATGCGCAAGCCCTTGTCAAAGTCGGCCTTGATGATGTACTCATGGCGATCCAGAGCATCCAGGTCAACTGTCTGCTCAACCATATCTTGCAACTTGCCCAAACTATCTGACAGGTCACGAAGCTTGGTGGTGTAAGCCTCGTCAAGAGGATCCTTGTAGTTTTCGTCCATGACACCTTCGAATGTGCCAATGAAGCCAGGGAGCCGGATCACAACCTGGTACGCACGGACAACGTCTTCCAGGTTTGCCTTGCCGCGCTGGAATCGCTTGGACAGTCGGTAGAGATCGGGAATGGAGCGCAGATGCTCCTCTTGTAGGGTTTGACGGAGCTCGGTGTCGACGTAAAAGGCCTCCACCAGTTGCTGACGCTTCTCGATCTCTTGCTTGCTCATTAGGGGCTGCTTCAGCCATTGGGCCAAAAGCCGGCTGCCCACAGGGGTCTTGCAGTGGTTGAGAACTCCATAGACGCTCATGGTCTTGGAGCCATCCCGCGGGCCTGGCATGAGATTGAGAGCCTTGAGAGCAGCAGCATCCAGTTTCATGAACTGGGCCAGATCATGCTGGTAGAGCTGGTACTGGCCAAAGTTGGAGGGATCTTGGAGGACGCCGAGGTACTTGATAAGAGAAGCGGCAGAACCCATGGCCAGCTTGAGGTCTGTTTGGGGGAGGAGAGTAGCTGATCGCTCGTCTTTTAGCAGACGAGCCAGATCCTGCTCGATATCTCGAGTGCCAAAGTCGCCGCTTGGCCGCTCAGCGATGGCCACGCCGCAGTTGTCAATGATTTTCTTCAACTTGGCCAGCTCGGGGTCCTTCTCCTTTTCACTCTTGTCGATTTGAACCAGACACTCCCGGACGCCAAGCTGGATAAGGAGCGCCTCAAAGTTGGAGTATAGGTCGTTGTCGAGGAACTCGCTGACTCCCAACTCTCGAACACTGGCATCGGCAAAGCAGACACCAATGTTGCGGGCTTCGGAAGCCTTGGCTGAGATCTTGACCGCGAGGATCATAGGTGCAGACTCAATCTGTCCACCCAAATCATCCTCGACATCCTGCAGGTTGCCAGGGGATGCTTGCTTGACGCACTTCCAGTTCATTCGTCCACTGGCGCTCTGCCAGATTTCTATCCGCTTGCCTAGTTTGAGCAAGGCTTCTCGGAGGAATTGTCGAAACACGGTCATGGTCATTGTTACTGAGGGGAGTCCGGTGTGATCGTTTCGGCCGAGCTGTCGTACAACGGAGGTGGTTTTGTATACCTGTGATTGTCGAGTTAGAAGGGTCGAGAATCATGGCGGTGTCGGCGTACGGTTTTGGCAATAAACATGGCATCTTCGCCATGGGAAGTGTACCAGTCGCCTCGATCAAAAATACGGATTGTATCATCGTTCTCTGATGGCAGTGACTTGAAGAAGCGGATGAAGCCGCCTTCGTCGTCGAGCTAGGCACCGATAGATTAGCAAGAGAATTACCAGAGTAATTCAGACAAGACAAACCTTTAATTCAGGTCGCGAAGCCATGATGATATCGTCGCCGGCTGCACGGAAATGGATTGAATCAAGTGTAAAACTCCTGGTCAAGAGGTTGAGATGGAGCAACGAGCTAAAGGACTTGACGACGTTGATTGAGTGGCGCTTGTCGCGTCGCTAGCTCCTGACATTGGCCGGGAGACGCGTTTTTGGCGTCTCTCAATTAAAGTCCTGACGCGAAAATGCGCTAACGGATTTGTGCATGAACTGCATGAACTGCATAAATTGTGTGTTTTCATAATACAGCCGCGGGGTCACCTAACAGTCTTGTGCTTCCTCGGGATGCAAGCCATCGGGAGGCTTGAGAGGCTGCATCATCGTCAACACTCGTTGTAAGAAGATTTCTATCATCATTCCACGATGAATTGATGATATTATTTGAGGTTTTGTTTGAACACAGCATTCAGCCCTCTTACCGTCTTCTCGAGCCATCATGCGCCCGTCGGGAGAAACAAAGTAAAAAACGTTGAACAATGCCAGACATAAAGTTACGACTTGGTACAGATGAGGCTGATGCCAGGAATGAGCATGTGCAATGAAACACAGCAATATTCGACTCTAGATCATGGCGCCCAATAGAAGGCAAAACCATCCTCAACTATCATCAGCCTCTCCCTCGTCAGCCAGCCACGACTCTCAGCGCGGGATACGTACAAGACATCGAGATCTCATTCGACTAGCGCGCGACGGCCCGTGAGATTCAAGTCTTTCTTTTTCCTGGAGCACCGACATTTCCCCGATGTCGTCAACATGCCTATGCCTAGGCAAGGATGTGTGGAACAAGATGGGACGAGATGTTATGGGAGATGGGGAATCTCGTATGCTTCTACGATACTTTGCCCTATGTCCGTGGGTGGATATGTTCTAACGAGTGGTTTAGCTGACATCCCACGCTGCATGGATCACTCGAGTGGGAGGATAGACTCTCATCGTCGAACTATGCCGTTCAAACGTTGTCTAGCGCGACCGCCGCACACACACAAAGACGGCATCTTTTTAACCTTGTTTTTGGCATATGCCATGTGGGGTTAAACTCGAGGTTATGCTAACAGTTGCTGGAAATCCTTATCAACAGCCGCCCCTTGTTCAAGGACAAAGAGTCTATTTGTATGGACACGCGCCATTTTAAGCACAAAGATGTGCCTCACAACAAGAGATATGACCGACACAAAGAAACTAGCAGGCGGGAGAGCGCGGGAAACATGCTTAATCCTTGAAAGACAATGAGCACGCCGTGGGAGAATGCTTGGATTACAGAGGCTCTTCTTGGTCAGTGTCCTAGCAAGCGTCTTGGCGACAGGGTTTCTTCTGTCCATCAAGGTCCTCACGCAAAGGCCGGTCTTGCCCAGAAAGGAAACCTCCCGCCCGCCCACGGTGGCCTACGGTGCGCAAAGGCCCATTCGAGGGCCATCAAGGTCCTCAACAACGCCTCACAGTCCCTTCTAACCACCCCCCGGCTTGGCACCACTATCCACTCTTTTCGCACGTTTAGGTTATTGGCAATGAGATGACCCTCACTTGAAAGGAAAAAAGTCTGAGACAATGTCTCTTTTCTCTCTCTCTCTCTCTCCGTCTCTCTCAAAACCACCTCCTCACCCAGGACGACTCGACAACCCTTTTGGCCTTTTTTTCCCCCTTCAGATCCTCCAACCACCAGGCCCTGCTCGCTCTCTCGGATCTTGCTTGCCGACTAGATCCTTCAACCTTGACGCATCTAGAAGCTGTTTCAAGTTCTTCGTCCCATAGGAGCCCGTCGTCTTGACTCTGCAACTCGTCCGCATACGCAACCACACGCTACGCAACCTTGCTGCAGAAGAATTAAGCTTAAATATTGCTTCTTCAGTTGGCCCGTCCATTCCCTCCACGCGTCTTTCGCTTCTCACCCCCTTGTGGTTGGATCCTATCTCGTCTCGTCTTCTGAGAACCTCTTTGGCACATCCTCGCCCACGACATGTACACTCCCGTGTCGTCCCTCGCCAAATGGGGCATCCTCGTCTCTACGGCAGCATCTGCCGCTGCCAACCTGGCCCCTAGAGCCACCACTGCCGCTACGACAACTGCAAGCGAGGCCAAGGTCACTGCCATTACCGGTTGTCATCTCCATGCATCTGATCTGTTGGTCTCCCTGCTCTCAGATACAGTACCCCTGACTAGGGACTAACACAATTTGTACAGCTACTGCTTCGCTGGTGAGACAGAGTACCTCGTAGACATCAAGGTCACCGCTACCACAGATGTCCCCGCCAAGTACACAGACTGCCATAGCCATGGCTCTGAAATGTAAGCATCTAAGCGTGTCATCCTATTGGACTATACTAATCCTTGTTTCCATAGGTACTGCGTAGACTCTGATGGAGAAGATGTTGCTGTCCAGGTCGAGGGTGCCGAGTCTGAAGAGGACCATGATCATGAGGAGGAAGGCCATGAGCACACTGAAGAAGAAGGACATGATCACGAAGAGACCGAGGAAGGTCATGAGGAAGAGGAGGCCGCTGAGGCTGACGAGAACGAGCACTGCCATTTCCATGCTGGCGTTGAGTAAGTCAACTCGAACATTTGATCCTCGACATGGCTAACAACTCCTTCCAGGCACTGCACAGGCGGCAGCGACAGTGAATCCGAGTCTAGCGAAGCTGGGTCTTCGTCTTCATCTTCATGCCAGCCTCGTCAGAGAGACTACAACATTGGCCTGCGTGTCGGTCTGCTCTTTGTCATCCTTGCCACGAGCGCCATTGGCGTCTTTGGTCCTATCCTGCTGCACAAGATGATGCCTACCAAGCTCAACCTGGTGCTCATTGTTCTGAAGCAGTTTGGTACCGGCATCATCATCTCCACTGCCTTTGTTCACGTACGTTGCTTCAGCCTCGTTGGTCAACTTGAAAACAGGAAACTAACCAACTCTAGCTTTTCACCCACGCGTTCCTCATGTTCAGCAATGAGTGTATCGGCGAGCTCGGCTACGAGGCTACCACTGCCGCCATTGTCATGGCCGGTCTATTCCTATCCTTCCTCGTGGAGTACATTGGTCATCGCGTCGTCCTCGCCAAGGCCAAGGCGTCAGCCGCGCTCTCTTCCACTGAAAGGAAGAGTGTCTTTCTCTCAACCGAAGTGCTCAGCATCCTTGTCATGGAAGCTGGTATCATATTCCACTCTCTTTGTAAGTTGATCGTCATCCCATCCATAATCCATTTGACATGCCGACTAACAAACTCTAGTGATTGGTTTGACCCTCGTTGTATCTGGCGACGAGTACTTCATCACCCTCTTCATTGTCATTCTCTTCCACCAAATGTTCGAAGGCATTGCCCTTGGAAGCCGTATCGCCACCATCGGAACAGCAGCCGATGCCGAGGTCGTCACCGCCGCTCGTCCCTCTCAGGAGACTTCTTCCGCTCAAGACTCGGACAAGGCTCCTTGCCCTGCCGAAACCACCTCTTGCGAAGAAGTGGCTCCTCCTACTGGTCTCACTCTGAGGAAGAAGCTTGGTCTCGCTGCCCTCTTCGCCTTTACCACCCCCATCGGAATGGCCATTGGCATTGGTGTTTTGCAGCAGTTCAACGGAAACGACAAGTCTACTATCATTGCCATCGGTACTCTCGACGCCCTCTCTGCTGGTATCCTTGTCTGGGTCGGCCTTGTCGAGATGTGGGCTGCTGACTGGATGACGGGCAACCACGGCCAAAAGGCTGAGCTTGCTGATGCCGACATCCTCACCACTGTCCTTGCCTTCACTGGCTTGGTGGCTGGTCTGGTAGTGATGAGCCTTCTCGGCAAGTGGGCATAGGCGGGTGGAATATATGATGTGTTTCAAGAATGCATGGTAACGAACAACATGTCTGGTTTCAGGCGTTTTGGTTAGGGTCTCATTGGCATCACGGAGTTTAGGTTTCAAGAGTCAGCTAGGGGCTGCTCAAGGTGTGCAAAATCGGTTTTAACGACGGTTTCAATCGCTTCTCGCGAGCGGGCTCCAGGGTTTAGAATGGAGTTGTTGACATGAAATATATGCATATATATGATATGATGAAACTTTCAATCGATTATTGGGCTCGTGAGATCAGTGAGAATGGTGGAATGATCAAATATTATTACGAATACTAGACTTTTCCTGCCTCCATCCCTGTCTCCACTCGGCCGAGGGCCATTAATGCTCCTCCATACCCAATCTCCATGTGTCTCAGAGTCTGGGCCGTCGGTAGATCTGGGTCGAGTTGCTCGTGCCATTGTATGGCAGCACCTGTATGTTGTCCACCTCTCTATACATGATGTCCCAGTGGTCCGAGATGTTGGGGTTTCCGTATGGTCTCAGAGCTGCGAACCGCATCCTTTATCATCCGTTAGCTCATGGCCCGTCCATCCACGGATCATGGGGACGTAAAAGACTCACGTGTAGTTTCCAGGGGCAATGCGTGTTCCGTTGGCGAGCTTACCAAACCACCAAAAGATACGGAATCCTCGGGGCTCGCGTCGTAGAGGAAAGGCAACTGTGTCGTCTGGGTCGTTGACATCAGGGTCATAGAACCAGAACTGCTCAGCGTCGCGCATCGTCGTCGCGGAACCGACATATCCACGCTCGCCAACCACTGGTGGATAGTGCCAGAAAGACTCTGACCAATCCCTTTCAAATATCTAGACTTGAATTAGCACCGCCAGGGTACGAGGCCTCTCAAGATACATACATCCCAGCGGAGATTGTCACAGGCGTATGAAAGCCTAGCTCCCAGCTCGACAAAATCGTTCGGGTTTTTGTCAATGTTGAATGACCATCTAGCAGCCTTTCATCAGTAAAGAAAGACAGCAGAGGGGGATAACATACGCCCAGTCTCGATCCATGTCTGTAATGAAGGGTTCTCTGATAAACATGTTGTCGAACGCCTTTTCAGTGTCGTATGCCGCCCCTGGTCAAACCAATCAGTCCAGCTCAGTCAGGCCAGGAGAGCCAAAACAAACCTCCATATGGAATAGATAACTTTTCTCCATGGTCAGACGTAATGCAGACTTTGCCACTATACAGGGGAAGGTAATCGTCGTCGACGTCAGGGAGCGCAAAAGATACACTAGATATTGTTAGAACATTCGCCTAGTCGCTGGCTTCAATAGTTACCTCAGTTCCCTCGTCTCGCCAGGCTGGACAAAAACCGCATGAGGAAGCCTCACTGGCGGCACAATGTTGCGAGGCTCCACGGCATAGAGAAGTGCAATTCCATAGTCTCTGTCAAGGATGTTGAACCCAGCTTGTGGCTCCAGTTTGAACGTGTACCTGTGTCCTTTCTTGTCGTTGTTGGTAATGTTGAAGGTCCATCGGGGTTTGAACAGTTCGGTATCCCTAAGCGCAAATGGTACATAATCGAGTTGGGTGTCGTAGTGTAGAACCTTCCACGCATCAACCAGTCCGGTGCCGACCTGGAATGGCGATGCCCTGAACTTGGGGATCAGACGGTTATTGACGAAAGGAAGGCTGCTTCCACTCGAAGCGATGCGATCATGAAGCATCTTGGCGAAGCCTGCTCCATGAAACTCACGGCCGCCATACTCTCCGATATACAAGGCTGCAAGTCCGGCGATGTATGGCGCCGCCATGGATGTTCCACTCAGCTCATCATAGCTCTGGTCCAACACCGTGCTCACAATCGTGAAGCCCGGGGCAGTAATGTCAGGCTTGATGAGAAGCTCATTGGTGGGACCCCATGTCGTAAAGTAGACGGGCACCGGCCCATAGTCTTCACCACTTCGGTTGCTGTTTGGCTGAGTTGAAACATTAGCAGCTGCAACGGCAAGAACACCATGGCCCGTAGCTCCGCTACTAGCGTAAAAAGGGCCAATCTCTCCTTCGTTTCCAGCTGAGGCTACCACGACGATGCCCTTGTCCACCAGTCGGCTTGCCAGCACAGCCCATGGGTTGTCGCTCCAGCCATTGGGCTTTCCAATACTTGAAGTAATAATATCGGCCTTGAAAGTTGTCAGTGAATCACTCGATTGATATCAAACAATACTCACACCAGCACTGTAGGCGTCACACAAGGCCTGCATGATTGTCTCCTCGTCGGTCTCCCAGGGGTCCTATGACAGTCAGTTACAGGCTAAACATTGCAGTCGAAAAGGTGATTTACGTCAGAGAATACTTTGTAGATGAGAAGTTCAGCGTCAGGAGCAACTCCAGTGAGCCTATAAGAATCCGCGTCACTAAATGCTGGCCATCTGTATCGATAGAAATCTGAAGCTTACCACTCATTGTCAGCAGCGATGATGCCAGCCACATGGGTTCCATGACCTTCATAGTCCATGGGATCGGTGTCAGGCACTTTCGGATACTTCTTCTGGTTATGCGTGTCCCCTAATAAGAGCATCAGCGTCTATTGATCAAACCTCAATCCACCTCCAAACTTACAATCAGCTCCGACCAAGTCATAGCCTCCCCTAATCTTGCATCCAGGGCCAAAGCAACCTCCAAGCTAGGACTTGTCAGCACATGGCATATGGGGGGAAAGGTAAGAAGAGCCATACCGCTTTGTGTGTGTAGTCGATGCCAGTGTCGATTATCGCGACAGTGGCACCTTTGCCTCGTATGCCAGCAGCATGGAGTTTATCGACACCCGTCGAATAATGAACCGTGTAGTTTTTCCTGAGCTTGGACGGGCCATAGGTTGACTTCTCGACTCGGGGTCTTTGCATCGTACGGGCAGCCCACACGTTCACAACTCCCTCCATCTGGCGCAAAGAGTCGACATTGTCAGAATCAGTCTCAATGACCATACCGCTAAAGACATCGCCGCACTCGAACTCTTTGAAAACAGGCTTTCCGGGGCCAGATTTCGAGAGAAATTGGTGCGACAATGTGGAGAGGCCTCGACGCTGGCAGTGTGAGTTTCAACTTGACCAGAAGGATGGAATGAAATACCGGTTCAACTTCGACGATGAACTTTTGAGTTCCACCAGTTCTCACTCGGCCGGTTGCATTGGGGTCAGGGGCAGGTCCCGGAAGTCTGTGGGCATTGACAACAGCTGAGGCGGCAGAGAACGCCTGCAGCAGAATAGAAGACTTCATAGTAGCCAGCGTTTGTCGATGAGATGATCAGTCAACATTACCATAGGGGCCCGCGTCTTTTATGTAGGTCGTCCGTCCTATCCCGGATACTTAGACCCGGTGCATCCCCGGAGGATTGATCAACGCGGATAAGTCCCGGAGAACTGCATCATAAATGGTACAACGCGTGCCCGGTTAGCAGGACGGCAAGAGACATCCGTGCAATTTTCTGGGTACGGTTAAGCTGTGTACGAGTTTGAGGCTCTTGTGAGACAGTTTTGGGTCTCGTCACCGTCCTCTCACAATGTGTATGATGCACTTGCATCTTGTCAGGGGTAGCATAGTGAACCGGACCTCGACTGCTCTGTGTTTTCCACCGAGAAGAGCAAAGAATAGCCGACAACAGAGTTGTTTTCCTGATGCAATTAGATTTCCTGGAGATTCCTTGGGTCAAGACCAGAAAAGGGGCATGTCTATCCGAGTAGTGGATCAAGGAACAGCGAGAGGCCGTCGGGTTATTTAGCAAACTCAGTTTGATATAAATCAAGGCATCCGGCTTGCCGTTGCCGGTTCATAGGCGTGTAACGCAAACAACTCCTTGAGCCTTGCCGCTCAAATGTAGTATGTCGCCTACAATGACGAGCCGAGAATGATGCCGTTACAATCTCCAATCTGTGCAACATGAATAGAGACACTCGCGGAGATTCGGTAGTCAACGGAACGGGGTCCTTTTGGTATCCCGGGACGGTAGAGGGTTCGCCTGTTGGAGCACGGAAATGGTGCACATCAAAGGGGAGCCGTGATCCAAGGTACAGGGAGAGATGATGAAGCACAGTAGGATCAAGAGGACGACATATTTGTGCCTTTCTTGGCTAGCGGCAGTTCTCATCCCGAAACGCGTGGCAATGTTGTAAAGGACTGAAATGGAATAATGGAGATCCATATCAACAATGAGGTGATCAAGTCTGGGCATCCATTCATTGTGCCTGCCCAGAGTCGTTGGATCTCACATCTCACATGGATCTCACGTGAACGCAGTGCCGATGCAGGCACCGGACAAATTGGGAAGGGACAAAGGACGTTGTCTGCGTCGTCTCATGTGACACGACGACTCGGCCAGTTGATCTGTTTGACGACATGACATATTGGGCATCAGGGTCAGATCGGCATTGAGAAACGTGACAAGCAGGTATGGATGCATTTGCTTTGCAGCAATTAAAGACGGCGTCTGGGCGGACGTGTCAGGCCAGCAGCCGTGCCGCTAGTTCTATGGCGGCTTGTTGGCCCAGCATCTAAGTGCAATCAATGCATCACCGTTGGATTCGCGAATTGTAATGGCGATGGACAGCCCTGGTTAATGAGGTCGACGCGATAGCGCGTCCAACATGCGCTGAAGGGAAGCTAACAGGCGATAGTCTATATTAGCCAGAAGCAGGTTCGGTTCGAGTCGTTAGTGGACGGAGGGCGAACCGGGTTCAAGTCCGTGCCTGGCGATCTCTCAGCCGATGACCTGACTCGCACTGCAGGGAGCGAGTGGTATCCAGGTCAGCCACAAAGAAGATCTTGTGAGTGACAGGCAGCTCATCTGCAGCGCACCGTTGCCCCGTTCGGAAATAGTCAGAGAGTAGTTGTCCATAGAGCGGGAAACAGAGTTTAAGGCAATGGCATCAGTCAGTCTCAGTCATGCTAGCTCACGGCTTGACCCCGTTATGGAAGCCGGCCGTCTTCTGGCAAAACAGCCAAGGCTGCAAGGCTCCTCTCTCGGTAGGCTAATGTCATGGACACACACAGAGGGATCGGATAACTTACTCGAGATTTGAAAGAGGGGAAAAGATGGTCAGTGTTGCACGTGGGAGGCTGGGATCGCCTGACTCTGGAAAGGGAAAGGGTCTTTCTGCAAGAACATGAGCCATGGTTGCAGCACGCAAGTGAGGCCATACCCGATACAGCATGTGCGATGAACCATGCGCTGGCCGCTGGGGGGACAAGGGGCCCCGGGGGCCAGAGGCAAAAGCTACCAGCATCATGTATTATTCCCTGAGGATGAGCTTCCTCTACGGTGGAAGGTCTGAGTGTCTGTGCGTTCAAGGGGTAAAGAGGGGGAAGAAGAAACTGTTGAAGACATCTGCTTGGTAACCATGATCAAGCTGGAACGTAAATAGCATTGCTTCGTGTTCAGATTTTTGACAGCTATCGCCTGACGTAATGAGACTGTGTGGCAGATGGAAGACAAATCCTCATTGATCCGTCTAAAATCTCATATTGACTCGACAGCAGCAGCCACAGCCACGACACGACACATCTCGTGAATTATTTCTGGTAGCAGACAAACCATCGTCTCATCTCATCCGCTGACGGGGGATCACCATACAGATGGAGGCTTCTGTGGGTACTGACTCGCCGCAACCATGTGGTCTTTTTTTTCTCTCTTGCTCGCGTGGAAGCCCTCCTCCCGCTGTCCATTCTCAGGAACCAAGCAGACCCTTCCGCAGACTCCATGAGAGATGGAACCTTGGAACTTTTCAGTTGGTGTGCCCCCTGCGTCAACCCGCCAACGCCAAAACATGGCGGCGTCCCAATTAGCGCTTCCGGGCGCTGGCGCTGGGTCTCAGGGATGGCTCCAGCTTGCGCCGGCCGGTGGGTGGGCGCTATCCCGAATACGTCCCGTGGTCGCCACGCTTTCGTGAGCTGTGGAGAGTGGGAAAAGCTTCTCAGCGATTACGAGTTGAGCAGAGGAGGATGGATCCTTGACAGATGAGACGAACGAACGAGAGTGAGCTTGGACACGCGCGCGCGAGGCAATGCAGGTTTTATTTTATTTTGATTATTCGTCCGCTGAGTGCAGGTTTTGCAGCGTGGCATCGTCAGAGAGGGCTGACTGTTGTAATTATAGTAATAGACTGGGCTCGTCAATATCTCCTCTCGTATAACGAGCTCTGACTGTTGTATGCTTGCACTCTGGTGATGGATTGATTCCATCTTTGCACCAATGCTGGGCAAGCCTCTTCTAGACCTCCAGGCCTTCCTTGCCCTTTCCTCTCTGGTCCAATACGTCCAATACCCCGACATGCACTACTCCGGGCCCAGGTTCTTCCCAGCCTCACCACGGCTTCCATCCCTATGTAGGATGCATATTCCACGCACGCACTCTTCCTCTGCCCATGGATGCATCCCATGGACGCATCCTCAAGGGGCGGGTCCCACGTTTTGGTTGCAGAAATCCCGAACCTCTCAGCGGCTGCGCTCGACTCAACGCATGGAACGTCCTGCAGCTCGACTCGCATGGCACCCATGACTCCCCATGGATGAGAAGACCCAGCCTAGCCTCTCAAGGCCCAGTCAGCGGCCCCCGTAACCCATCGAGGATCCCACCCGAACCCACCTTCCGGGTCTCCCCCTGCTTGGCTTCATCCCCTCCTCCCCGGCGCCGACCCAAGAAACCAACCTCGCGGCCGCGGACGCGGAGAGGCTAAGGGAGCAGGAGTTTTCTGTAGCGCCTGAAGAGCCTGAAGATGGATGGACGGGACCTGGACCGTCTCCTCTCCAGTTGCCCCCCAGACCCCGGGCCCCCTAAACCTGCTGCTGCACTCGGTAGGTCACTGACCCCCTGGCCCTGGCCCTGCCTTTCATGCCCTGCCCTGGCTTGCCTTGCCCCAGCACGTCTTATCATCCATTCCACTTCCTCCCTCTCGTCTCGACCTCTCACTCTCTCCTCGCAACCCTTCTTCTACCCCCCGTCGCCCACTCCCGTCCACTCATTCATTTGATCTGATCTCCTTCTTGGACCTCGACAAGGAACCAACATTCCAGGCGATTTGCTTCCTTTTGCTCACGACGTCCTCCCCATACTTTCTTTTTAATACTGCACCCTCCCAGCCAACCAATCATCAACAACAACAAGTCGCCTGTCGCAACGCAACAAAACAAAAGCTTGTCAAAGCGTTCTCGTCAACGCGAAAGCATTCATCAGTTTAAAACCGGCCCGCCCCCTTTCCGGACAAGGTCAAGACAAGACAATTCAAGACACCTGTCCCGAGACGAAACATACCAGCAAAGAAATCGACACGAAACGCATGCACACCACGGCATTGACTTGGACTGCGGTACTTGATCTCTAATCTCCACATATTCCTCAGCGACGATCCCCCCAACCTCCCTCGACGCGCACGTCTTAACCGAGATATCCGGAATCTTGAAACAGTCGCCCAGTCATTAACACGGGCTCTCTCTCGACATTGAACTCAACCTCTACAACTTACACCTTTTCAAACCAACCGCAAAAATGGGCAAGAGTCTTATGGACAAGATCCAGGCCAAGCTGGAGCTCTTCCGGCTGGAGCAACGCTACACCCGCCGCCGTCACCGACGTTCCACCTTTGTCTCCAACGCTGTCTACGTTGATGGCGAGTACGTCTACCAGACTCCCAACAGCACTGGCTCCTCGTCGGGATCTTCCAACATGGATGCTCTCCACGGCGACAAGGCTGGCAACAGCTCTTCCTCCACGCCCACCACTGGCACCCTTGAGGGCGGCCACTTCCCTTCGGAGTTCCAAGCTCCTCCGCAGCAGCAACCACAGCCCACGAGCGCTGAGCGCAAGCGTCTAAACCGCTTCAGCTCTATCCCACACTTTGGCGGATCATCCTTCAACAAGGAGATGCCCAGCATCCAAGAGCGAAGGAGCAGCATGATCCGATGAACGAGTCACGGACAATAAATATGAAAAAAGAAAAGAAACCACAAAAAATATCATCAAATTCATGCAACCCTCTCTGTACGACTGACGGGATCTGGCGCAAAGCAAACGACGAGCAGCCTCGTCGTGGTTCAGGCGCAGGCGTAACATGGAAGGCGCAACAAAAGCGTGAGCATGGACGCGACATGAGATGAGATGGACGGATGGAACTTGACGGATACCCCCATTTTTGAGGCTTCTCGATGACGGCATGAGAGTCGTCGACGTCTTTTGGTCTTGAGAAACCATTTTTTTACCACTTTTTGGATCAGCTGAAACGTTTCTGCTGGTCTTTTTAACGACTTGACACTTCTTGGTTATTACTTTTTTCCCCCAGTCCCGCCTGCTTCTCCCTCTCCCTCCAGCTGAGCACTCTGATGCTACTTGCTGGACATTTGGAAGAAGAACAGCAGAGCTTTACAGTTGGACGTGCCGACGGTATCACCGAACCTACCTAATTTTCCTTGTGGGCGTTGTTTTTTTTTATCTTTGTCTTATTCTACCTACCTACCATACCATACCATTCTTGCTCCGTTTCCCCATGGATGTAGGGGAAGAGCATGGCTTGGGTATCTATCTATCTTAGAACTGACGGGCAACTGTCGGGCGCTGCTGCAAACCTGTACATAGCATCAAAAATGCACATGCAGGCGGGGGTTCGGGTTGGGGTTCATGAGGAAATGGACTTTGGCTGTGTCCAATGAATTGAAAGAACCATCATGTTCAACCTTGTTTTCACGGAATATGTGCTGTCACTGAAGTGATGTGATGCGTCTGAGACGTAGTGGTATGACGTGCTTGACAGTACAGGTGATACATGATTTCCCCGTCAACGATAAAGTCAAATTAGTGGTTGTCGTCGATACGAGATTCCATCGAGATTTCTTCTACATAACGGTGTGGTTCTTGTCCCGTCTGATCAACGCCACCGACCGTTGGACCCGAGCCTTGTTTACAGTACAGTATCCGGGATCCAGCCACCCAGTGCGTTGTGATGGTGTGAAGTGAAAGTCAAAAGTCACTTGTGATCCAGGGCAGACATGCGTCGTCAGTATACATGACGTACTACCAGTCGTGTCCAGCTTGATCTGAAGACACCCGGGGGCATACTACCAGCAAGCAACTTGAAGCCTTCACCGCAGCTTGCAGGTTCATCATTTTTGTAAGCTGACTTCTTGATGCCTATGAGCTTCTCTATGGATAAATAGAGATGTATAGGCAGCTTGCTGTAAACCAAGCAAATATTACGTCTTTCGATATTCAACTGTTTATAGTACCTTTGAACACTTGAACTCTTTTGCTTTGACACAAAGAAATAAACCTAAACAAGCTCAAATGATTAGGTAGCTCACCACGTGAGGTTTATACAAGCTTGCGTGGGTCCAAAGTGACGATCTCATCCTGCCTTGCATCTTTCGGGTCAGCAAAAGAAAACATGATCACGACACACGAGACAAAAAATCTCACTTGATCACTCCACACACACAGATACAAGTCATCGGCGACTTTTTTAATCCTTTGGAACCAACAAGGCTCGGCAGTCATGGGAGCTAAAAATAACGGGCCGCAGTTGTTGCTGACCTCTCTTCTGTATCATGGATATATGCAAGTCATTGGTGAGCCCATCTTCTAACCCTATAGCATGGATGCCAAGACAGATCACAGATGATGAGCTGTCAATCCTGCATAGCCAAGATACGAGTTACACAGCTTTCTACGATTTACAAGGAATTCATTCCGATGCATTCACGCTGTGTAGCCTTTTAAATGGGAATCCGAATAAAGCATTAAACACCTATATCGACGACTGCATACAAACAGCCGTCATGCAACCACCCAATATACAAAAATGAATCTCAACAAGCAAAAACTCCTCAAAACGCCCTGCCATGCATACCGCTCGCTTTCCAATGCACCAGTCCAACCGAACAAGGGTATACGGTATCAAACCAGAAGCATCAAACCATCCGCTAGACGCCCGCACCACGCACGCCTAAGCCACCAATCCCTCGTACGCTCTCTCGATAGTCTTGCTTCCCATGCCCGGTACTGTCCTCAGCTGTGCAAGACTCTCGATTCGGCTACCGGCCTCGTCTCCGTCCACCAGGTCGAGGTAGTCTACCAAGTCACGAGCCTTCTTGGCACCGAAGCCGACGAGGCTTCGGATCTGAGTGAGATCACGCGAGTTGACAATGTCAAGGAGGTGTTGCGTACGAGGAGACGCAGGGCCCTCATCGTCACCAGAGAGCAGGGACTTTGTGTTCAGAGCCTTCACCTTGAGCTTGCGAGACTTGGACTTGGTACGGGCACCATCCTCCTCGTCCACATCAGCCTCGGCGGTTTCATAGTCACCATCGGCATCATCGTAGACTTGTCTTCGCTTCCTGCGGGGAGACTCTCGATGCTCAGAGCCCGAGTGAGCACCCCCATTCAACCGCGTCCGTAGCCTCTCAATCTTGCCGATGAGCTTCGCCTGTCCTGGGAAGAATGGTAGAGCCATCTCGTACATCTTGAGGGCGGCCGCGTCCTCACCCCGTTCCTTGTGCTGCCGGGCAGCCAGCAGGAACCTCAGCCCATCCGACTTGGCGTCGTCCCGCCACTCCTCGCTGTCAATCCGCCTCTCCAGAGCCTCCAGACGCTTCTGAACCGCATCGCTAATCTCAGGCTGAACTGGAGGTGGCGGTTGAGCATCCTTCTCAGCCGCGACACGCGCAGCGAGGATCTCGCTGACCTTCTTCTCAACCATGGCCTCGATCTGAGCCGCAGACACCGTGATGGATGCCGGGGCAGTTGGCCTTGAGATCTTGCTGGGCCTTACGAGAGTCTCATTCTCAGAGGGTCGCTTGGTCGGGTTGGTTCGGCGAGTCAGGTTGGAGCTCACCAGAGGACGAGTGGCAGGTGCCGGCTTCGTCTTGTCCGTGTAGACGCTAAAGGCCTTGACGGGCTTGTTGGCCTCAGCAGCCTTGTTAGCCTCGGCGGCCTTGGTAGCGATATTGCCATTGTGAACGTTGTGGACATTGGCAAGAGGTCGCAACGGCTGGCGCTGGACGTTGGAGCCCGACAAGTTGGAGTTCGTCCTAGGAACTTGCTTGTAGACAATCTCGTTCTCAATCTCTCGGACTTCGATGCGCTTCGCGCGGGAGCTGACGTTGAGACTGCTGAGGGTATCGAGGTGGTAGCTTCGCAGAGGGGCGAGGTTCAGAATCATGACTGTGATGCCATTGTTCTGACCCAAAGACAAGATGCGCGTCATCTTGGACTCCCGATACGGAATTCTTCGGTCACCGCGGCCGATGGCATCGATACACTGGCTCAGGACGAAGAGACTCTTGTTGATGGCGGCAGATTCCACCAGTCTCTCCTTTCCATTGTCAGTGCGACGGTTATCCTCAGATCCAGCCAAGTCAATGGCCGACGCGGTGCTCTCCCGAACCATATCTCCAGTCGTCTGCGTCAGCTTGACGCGGAGGATGGCGTGGCTACGACTGCTGTGAGCATTGAGCTTGGTGGCTGCCGTGACGCGGTTGTTGTTGGCCTCGATATACATCTTTTCAAAGTCCTTGAGGTCCTCGCATGATCGCTCCGACAGACCAACAACTACCGTCCTGCCATTGGCCTCGGCTCGCAGCGGCAGCCCAGTAGGCGTCCGCTTCTCAGGAGGCTCGAGGAGGTCGTAGACCTTGTCGTTGTAGATCTCGTAGTACGACAGGGCAACCTGGACGGTTGTCTCACCCTGCGTGTCCTTCATGATCTTCTTGCCTCTCCTGAACACATTGCTGAGCAGTCGGGGAATCACCCCTCGGTCGGCCAGCTTCAGACCGCCTCGCATCGTGTGCGTCTTTCCCGTACCGGTGACACCGTAGGCGAATATCGTGACATCGTAACCTTGGAAAAGAGACTTGAGGTGTGGCGCCACTGCTCAAGTCAACACACGACACGATACAAGCAAAAACAAAACTGTTTGGTTTTTTAGAGCGCACCTTCGGCAGTAAACAAACCCTCCTGGTTGACGTTTTGGTCGTAGACGCCATTAAAGGCGAACGAGAACTCCTCGCCATTGTTCTTTGGGTTGGGGATCTTGACAATGGTGTTTGGCGCGCCAGCCTCCGCGCTGTCTGCCCTGACAATGATCTCCTTCTCGAGCTCCTTCTCAAGCAAAGGCCGTATCCTGGCTACAACGCGGACACTCATGGCTTCAGATGGATTGGTCGACAGGGACGGGTGCGGGTGCGGGTGCGGGTGGGAGGACGGGTGATAGCGTAAGGTAGTATAAGGAAGCAAGGAAGAAGCAGAGCTTGTTTTGAGATGGGCGTTTGTCAGCCTACGGATCTGACCGCATGGGAAGATTAGTGAAGATTGCTATTGCTAGGATCCTTCGCACGTCCGTTGCGGTCAGCGTTGACATGCCGGGGTAGCAACCTCGCTTGCAATATACACTACGGTTGGCACGACAACGACGGGCACGTGACGCGGGAAAAGCCGCTAGCATCATTCAGAGTTGGACATGGGATATGCCTTGACATGAGATATACCCAGCTCTTGCGAGCTCATATCCCACCACAATGCGAGGCCAATTGCCGCTGCTAAGGACGGCGCGCGGCCTGCGACTTCTGAGGCTGACGCCGCCACCGCCGTCGTACGTCTGCACCCAGTGCCGGACGATCCAGATCAGCGCCGCCCCGAGCACCGAGACGCCCAAGGCCGGCGCTGATGCTTTCGGAGCTCTGGAGACGAGGGATCCCGCCGGTATGCCACGCCATTGAGGTGCTATGCAGTAAAATTTCTAACCGGAATCGGCTGCAGATGCTCGATTCGAGGTTCTCGGCGCTCCATACTCGCTGTTGTCGGTGACGCTGTCGGCGTCGCAGAAGCTGTACACTCGGAGGGGTACACTGGTTGCTGTCGCCGGCAAGCCTGATAGTGTAGGCAATTGCTTCCCGGGAAGAGAATAGAATGGCTGCTAACTATCTCCAGGCTCAATCCACGCTGTCAATTCTAAATCCCGCCACACGAGCCTTCCTCGGAGTCCCGTTCCTTTATCAACGCATCTCGGCTACGACGCCCATCACGGCGTTGATCGCAACCAAGTCGCCCACGACCACTTTTACGGTTCTTCACCTCGATGGAACGACAGACTGGATGGTTTCTCAGCGGAATGCGCTGCTCGCCTGGACTGGACACACACTATCTCCATCGGCGCGCCTCCAAACTGGACTCACGCTGGCGCATTGGGGTAACACCCATTTGACCGGACGAGGACTCGCTGCTCTTTCAGCACCGGGACAGATCTACGAGCTCACATTGAAGGAGGGTGAGGAGTTTGTTGCGCATCCCGGCAGTGTCGTTGCCTACACAGTGGGAAGACACGCCCCACAGCCTTTCCGGTTCAAGAGCAACAGCCTGAGGATCCAGGTCCCTTCGCTGTCGAGATGGATCCCGGAAGCCGAGTGGATGAAGACTGTCCGCAACTCGGAGGCTTACAAGTTCTTGGCACGGGCACTCTACAGCTTGCGCACGGCGACTCGGAGGACCATCTGGGGCGACCGGCTGTTTCTGCAGTTCCACGGGCCGAGCCGGATCCTCATGTCGAGCCGAGGGGTGCGCGCCTCTGACGTGCTCACCAATAGACAGGTGGATGAGATTGCTGATGCTCCTGCCGGTGTGCTTGCGCAGGCGTTGGAGCTGACCAACAAGCCGAAGCTGTCAGACGGATCTGCGTCCAAGACTTCTCCTGTTGAGTCTGCCAAGCAGGGTCAGGCGACAGGTATTCATGTTGCACCAGCTGAGAAGGATGGCAAGGTCAAGTTTGAGGATGACAAGGACCTCAAGGAGTTTATCCGATGAGAGGAAGAGAGAGTGGAAAAGTAACAAATGATATTGAGGGTACGAGAAAGGAGGCAGGCATACAAGCAAGGCCTTTGATATCATCTGCCATGTACCATTACCGATTCATAGAGAATAAGCCCATTGCGTGTGTATCAATATCAAAAGGTCATGATGACTCGGGGAATAGGGTAAATGGATTGTCTTGCAGCTTTGGGGATCCTTGTTGATGCAGCTGCGGCTGATGAGATTATCTTATTACCCACTCGAGGATCAAGTCTCTAAGAGGATAAAAAAGGTGCTGGTATTATTAATCTGCAAGTGAGATAAAGAGTGAGTGAGAGATAGCTGGAGTGAGGATGACCTTTGAAGCATTCGGCGTATTCAGATTCCCCACTCGGATCCGAGCGGGCTATTTTACCCGGAACACGGATACGTACCAACCACGTTCATGACCGACTCTCTATCAAAGAACCCAGACAAAGACAAGCGTAGTTTTTATTGTTTTGTAAGCTTCAGAGATTATGCAATATTTGCATCTCTTTGTGTGAGGACTGCTATTGGTTGGTCTCGGCACGTTTCTGGCCTAGTTTCCTCTCTTCGCGACTCGGCCTTTCGCTCTTTGCTGTTGGAGCCGAGAGTTGTTTTCAGCCCTACAGAGGATTTCCTGGGGTGTAGTCTTTGGTGATGGGCTTTGGCCTTAGTCTCTGTTTGCTGTATTTTCTATGATTTACTTGTATTTATTTGTTAATAAGATCTATATCTCCATACTTGATCATGTATCCTCCTCTTCGGGCTTTAAACACACTACATCTTAAACCCGAAGCCATAAAACGGAATTACAACCATCACTCACACAAGTAAACCCGATCGAGTCATAGATGGGGTGGAGAGCCCAGGAGACAATTCCCCGGCCCTTGGAGTTAACTTCTGACCGAGCCGAGCGGGAGATGGGAGTCCACTTCCCACCCCCGGCTCCACGTCGTCGATCCTGGGGGGTCTGGGTCCTTCGCGTAAGGTGTGCGAGGCCGAGAGAACTTGTTGATATATATCTTTGTTTCGCCTTTTCAGACTTGCTGTGTTGATCTCATCTCATCTAAACCATCATTGGCATCACGAGTTGACCTCTGCCAGACTGATCGGATTATATACAACAACACCAGTCAAATCATCTCTAACAAACCATTGACCTCCTTCAACCTCCCCCCCTACAAAATAGTAGCCATGCCAGGCTCAACAATCTCATCGTCCTCCGAGACAGTCAACGAAAAAGCCTCTATCAAAAACATCGAAAAGTCAGACCCCCAACCCTACGCCAGCACATCCCTCCAAATCATCCCCTCCCAAAATGACGACGCCAACGCAAACATCCACCCAGAGCCCTCCAACGCGGCCGAGGCCGACATCGAAAAGGCCCAGCCAGCTCCTCCAGGTCCGCCTCCCGGCATGGCGCCCGCCGACTTTCCGGATGGCGGAGTAGAAGCTTGGCTTGTTGTCTTTGGAGGGTGGTGTTCGCTGTTTTGCACGTTTGGACTTATTAATTGTGTTGGTGTTTTTCAAAAGTATTACCTTTCTGGTCCTCTTAAGGGGTATAGTAGCTCTACCGTGAGCTGGATTCTATCAGTCGAGGTCTTTTGCATGATCTTTTGTGGTGCCATTGTATGTCCTCTTATCCCCTTACTCTTATATCTTGCTAACTCCTTCAGTTCGGCCGGCTCTTTGATGTCTACGGCCCCAAGTACCTCCTCTACTTTGGTACCATCGCCTACGTCTTCGGCCTCATGATGGTATCCCTCTCGACATCGTACTACCAAATCTTTCTCTCGCAGTCCATCGTGGCCGCTATCGGCTCCAGCGCCGTCTTCAACGCCAGCATGTCGTCCCTCGTCACTTGGTTCTTCCGTCGTCGCGCCGCCGCCTTTGGTATCATGGTTTCTGGCTCGTCCCTCGGCGGTGTTGTACTGCCAATCATGATGGACAAGATGATCAAGGAGGTTGGGTTCCCCTGGATGATGCGCACCATGGCCTTCATGTTTCTCTTCCTGCTTGGCATCTCTTGCCTCACTGTCAAGTCCCGTCTGCCTCCTCGCCCGAAGCCATTCGTCTTTATGGAGTACATCAATGGCCTTCGAGAGCCTCGCATGGCCATCACCGTCATTGGATTCTTCTTCTTCATGTGGGGAATGTTCCTCCCCTTCAACTATGTCCTCCTCCAAGCTGAGGCTGCGGGAATGTCTCCTACCCTGATCCCCTACCTGCTGCCTATCCTAAACGCTGTGAGGTGAGTTATCCTGACGTTGAGCAACTGTAAGCCTTTACTGACTCAGTCCTAGCATCCTTGGCCGAATCATCCCCGGCATCATCGCCGACAAGCTTGGTCGATACAACGTCATGATCTTCATCACCTTCATCTCGGGCATCTTCTGTCTCTGCATCTGGATCCCGGTCAAGGACACGGCCGGCATCCTCGTCTTTGCCATCATCTTTGGCTTCTCCTCGGGAGGTTACATCAGCTTGGCACCTACGCTCGTCGCTCAAATCTCCGACATTCGTCAGATTGGCACACGCGTTGGTGCTGCTTTCGCCCTCCAGTCCTTTGGTGCTCTGACGGGCAGCCCTATCGGTGGTGCCATCGTCTCGGCCCAGAATGGCGACTATTTGGGTCTGCAGCTGTTTTGCGGCGTTGCCATGATTATTGGCTGTGTTGCCGTTGCCGTTGCTCGCTATGTGCAGGTTGGCATCAAGATGGTCAAGATTTGATCACTCCTCATTTCTTGGACAAACACAAAATGGACAAGTCTTTAATGGACATTATTGGACAGAGTAATAGGTTGTGTATTCGGAGCAACGCAGCACGGCGCTGGTTTTGGTTACACAAGTGTCATGAAAACAAAATGGGCTTGGAAAGGGAGGGCTAGATACCCAGTACAGGATAGAGACGGCAAGTTGATTCTTGCATATAATATGATGGAATACATGTTAGAATACGAGTGCACCAGTGACTATGCTTTTGGTTGCTGTAGCTGGACAGATATCATGGATATTATCAGGTTTCCAGATCAAGGAGGTTTATACGGCATTGAACATGTTGAAGCTATTATCAAAGTCAGCAAAGAACTAAAAAGAGTTGCTGATGTAAATGGATTGAACAAGGAAGGAATTCTCAGGATGTAGATATTGTGAGCGTTGGAATCATTAAAATTCATAAACAGCCTCTGACTCGGTAGGTCATCATAGAACAGGGGGGAGTGGAAGGAAGTGAGGAATCAAGTCAATACGTACCAATTCACGAGATCAGCACAGTTTATGGCTGTAAATGGGAAACTAGAGAAACTTTACTGGTCAGTAACAGTGACAACCATGAACATAGAACATATCAAGTGTTGGGGACAGGTAATCAGGATGTAGATATTGTGAGCGGTGTAATCATGAATTCATAAACAGCCTCTGACTCGATGAATCATCATAACAAGGGGACGTAAAAGAAAAGAATAAAGATGGAACATACCATGATCCAAGAGTTTAGACTCTTGTAGCTGTGAGTATACAATCAAGAAAGATACCTGAACAGGGTTAGCAACTGCCAATGATAGCAATCGAAACGGTTCGTTGAAAGTATGGGTGCTCAGGATGTAGATATTGACGAGTGTTGTAATCATTAAGATCATAAACAGCCTCTGACTCCTTGAATCATCATAGCAGGGAAGGGGAATGGTAATGTTAAGGGAGTGTCGGGATATGTAAACGTACCTTGGAAGCAACCTGTCTTGTCCAAGCGTGAGCAGGTACAGTCTTAGAGCCGCACATGGAACAAAACAAAACTCCAATTCTCTAGTGTAGCACCTCTTCTTCGCCCAGAAGAGTTATGTACAATCGCTTCCGTCCCGCTCGTCCGCTTGCCGTGCTCATTGGCTACCGGCAACAGTCGCGTTGACGGGGTTAACCTCAAATCCATACTTCTCCTTGAGGCGCTCTGCCCTCCGCTCGTCATATCCGGGGGGTCGGATACCTGCTGCTGTGAGAATGGGATCATGGTTACAGCTGTGCGCGACTTACCTCGGCCCTCGCCAATCTCCGAGATGGTCTGCTCAAGCGGCAATCGGGTCGTCCGTCGGATCGTCTCCTTGCGCTCGAAAGTGTCGTCCTCCTTGTAGAAGGTGTCGTATCGGTTACCAAGGTAGTAGAACATGCCCTGGAAAACACCAATGGACGCACCCAGGCCCATAACGACGGGCATTCTCCTCGCTGTTGCATGTCAGATGTGACTCCTCGTGTGAATTGAACATTGGGAATCGTACAGGGAAGACCGAGGACAGCACCCATCATGAAACCACCAAAGCCGGCCGACCAGGGATCGTTCTCCTCGCGGAGGTTCATGGCAGTTCGGGAAAAGAAGACGTAGGCGGCGGGAGCGGCAGCTAGACGACCCAATTAGCACCCCAAATGGACCAATTGACAAGCTCAAGACGGGAAATGCATACTGGCGAGGCCAATAATGGGAGCGCCGCGGGTAAAGACACTGAAGGCGCCAACGTTTGTCTTTGCCAGGGCGTTGCGGATCGAGGCGATGAAGAGACCACTGGCACCGCCGACGAGGCCGGCCTTGGCGGTGTCGTCGAGGACATCGTAGGGCTTGAAGACGGTGTCGGGCTCGAAGTGAGCCCGGGGAGTCGAGCGTCTCGGGGGCTCCATGGCGGTTCTGTCTGGCGTCGAGAGAGGGATGCGGGAGCTGTTTTGGTTCTTTGGCCTGAGGTTGAAGCCGAGCTCCCAAGTCTGGAGGATTCAAGAGTGCCTCCACTGAAACACGTGATGTTGGTCATTCAATTGCCTTACCGTGATTGGTCAGGTGTCAGGGAGCGAATTTGCAGAGGGCCGTCGGTACGTACCTATGACAGTGCCCCACCATCAACAACCTCAGTGAGAAAAATCCGCCGTCAAGACAGACTCACTGAGTTTGTCTCTGCTAAATTCTAAACGAGTTTTCTGACTCGCTTATCAAGGTCTTTATATATTACTTGAAGGATTGTAACCTTGTTCAATCGCTTCGTACGGTTTATCCTTGAAAGAAATACCCCGAACTTCAACATACGACAATTGCAGCCTTTGAGAAGCTCCCGTATAAGAGGATTGTAGCTCTTATACATCACAGCCACCGAGCCCCATTTCAAACCTCGCGGGATCAAGATATCATATTTCTGAATTTGAGCTTATTTCACCATCGAGAACTTGATCACCCTTCTATAAACTCACTTAGAGCCTTTGGACGACCTTCAGCTTGAGCAAGATCCCAGGCCTTTCCCACGCGGAGGAAGAGGCAACATGTCTGCCATGGACACAGATTCAACAGAGAGACCCCCCGTGGCTCAAGATGCCAAGGAATTGAGCAACGACACCAAGACCGCCGCACCCTCAGAAGCCTTAGTCCTCCCCCAAAAGCGACCAGCCGAAGATGACGCTCCCCCCATGTCAAAGAACGCCCTCAAGCGTCTGAGGAAGCAGCAAGAGTGGGAGGCCGGCAAGGAAGACCGCAAGCAGAAGCGAAAGGAGAGCCGCCAGGCCCGCCGCGTCCGCAAGCGCGAGGAAAGGGCCGCCCTCGTGGCTCAGGGCATCGACCCAGACGCCCAAAAGACCCAGAAGCCCCCCTCGGTCAGCGTCCCCGTCTCGCTCATCTTTGACTGCGACTTTGAGCAGTACATGATGGACAAGGAGCTCGTGTCCCTTGGAAGCCAGATCACCAGGTCGTACTCGGAGAACAAGAATGCTCGCTTCCGCACGCACATGTTTGTTTCTGGGTGGAATGGGAAACTGGCTGCGCGTTTCCATGATGTGCTTGAGGACAAGCACAAGAACTGGAAGGGCATTGATTTCCTTGAAGGAGACTTTATTGCCTGCGCTGAGGCAGCACGCAAGCAGATGCAAGATAACGGCGGCAAGATGATTGACCCCCTTCAAAAGAGCCTCGACGAAAAGGTTCCCTGGGAGAGAGACGAGAGGGACCCATTTCCCATGCCCGACCCCGAGCCTGAACCGCGAGAAGAGTACAAGGACATTGTGTACCTGTCCTCCGACTCTCCGTACACGCTCGAGCGGCTGGAGCCCAACACGAGCTACGTCATCGGCGGGCTCGTCGACAAGAACCGCGAAAAGGGACTGTGCTACAAGCGGGCGCGGCAGCTTGGCATCCGGACCGCTCGGCTGCCCATTGGCCAGTACATGGTGATGGCGAGCCGGCAGGTGCTCGCGACGAACCACGTCGTCGAGATCATGCTCAAGTGGCTCGAGTACGAGAACTGGGGTGACGCATTCCTTAGTGTCATTCCTAAGCGAAAGGGAGGACAGCTGAGGCAGCAGGAGGGTGCTTCAGGGGAGGTGGACGAAGATGAGGGAGAGGAGGGTGAAGGTGAAGAACCTGCCCCTGAAGCAGAGACCGAAGAAGCTGCTTCAAAACCATAGAGCTTATATTATACCATGTGCGCCAGCCAATTTACATAAATACCAAGTCTACCACATGTATACAGTGTCATGACGCCCATCCAGCCGTTCATATCTGCTCAAAACTCCATGCTGTTCTCCTCGCGCTCCCTCTTGACCTTGACATCCTTCTCATCCTTCATTAGCCCATTGACAAAGTGTCTAAACTGCTCGATATACGGCTTCAAGCTCGTCTTTTCCCAATCCGCCGTGCTTTTGTTGGCCTCCTCATCCTCCTCACCCTTCCAGGCGTCAATCTCTGCCAGGAGGCCTTGGACAGTAGGCACGCCTAGGGGATCAAAGTCCTCGAGGTTCTTGGTGTTGATGGGTACACAAACGCGGCCTGTTCCGGGGTGGACGACAAAGGGACTCTTGAGCAAATGGTTGAGCTTCTTGCTGACTTCGATATCCAGTCGAGGGTAGGTGTACTCCAGGACAATGTCCTGCTTGGCTTCCAGAAGTTGCCTGGCGTCGAGGTTCTTGCTAGCGCCCGACTTGGCCACGGCATCAATGTCTGCCCATTTTGACGCTGAGGCACGGCCAGGGGCGGCGTCCCACTTTCTTCGGAGAGACTCGTTGAGGTTTTGGTTGGGGAGGAGTTGTAGCAACTTCTCGGCCTGTTCAGGAGAAGACCAAGGGTCTTGTACATCAAGAACATCCTCTTGGAAGTGAGTCTTGAGAATCTCCAAACTTCGTCTAAAAGGTGTTAGTAGACATTCTTCAAGTGGTCAAGGTCAAACTTACGCCAAGTGAGGGTGTAGCGGCCTCCTCACATTAACCTTCTTCCCACTCTGAGCACCTCCCTTGACCACCTCGAGATAACCAGCAATAGCCCTCCTCTTCTGATCATCCATGCTCCGAACCTTCTTGTCGCACACCCAAGCGTGAGCACCTCTTCGACCCGAGTACACCCACATGATGTGCTTGAAGCCAAAGTCCTCCCGCAGCGCGGCGTCGAGGACCTTGATCGCCATGGTCATGAACTGCCAGCACTTGTTGCAGATGTTGGCCTTGTCGCAGCAAGTTCGCACGTCGTCGTAGTCTGTCAAATCGATATCGAAGCATAGTTCCTTGGCGAGGGGTTTGAACCCGGATGACTTGACGAGGGTCTTTCGGTCGCGGGGGTTGGTGGTGTAGACGGGGCCGATTTCGAAACGTGAGGGCATCAACCGTAGGACATCCTTGCGAAGCCTGCAGATACAGCGTTAGAGTAGAAGTCTTAGTGGTAGTAGATGACATACATGTCGGCTGTAGGAAAAGACTGGTATCGAAGATAGGCATCGTTCGAA